AGAAGGCTCGTCGAAACGACGGCCAATAAGGCGCTTGATGTCTGAAAAGGACACAGATCAATACAATGCAGTAAAATTAAGTATAAATCAAAAGATTAAGGCATGATTGGTGGAGCATGGTTAAAAACTAGGTCGAAGACATGAATTGTGGTTCGAGTTCAGCACGTAAATTTATGAATGCTGATTTAATGTTCTTCGGATGCAGTTCTTCTTGACCCTATCGTATAGGCCCCGGCTTGTCCTTATGATAAAGGCTCGTAAATCACATTTCCGCAGGCATTGCAGCTTGTTTTCCACTGGATATATATATATTTTTTCAACGGATAGCGTTTTCCATCATTTGAAAACTTGCTCCTAACTATTTGTTTCTGTTATCAGCCTTTAGAAATGGGGCGAAATCTTAGCTAGACAGTATTGTCCAGTTATACGACCCCACAAGCTGAAAGCTTTGATTTGTAATCGTAGGTTGTATGTATGCATATATGTATGGAAGAAGAGGAAGGAAGGAACGAACAAACGAAACGGAACAGAGCTGCACAGGCCCTTAGCTAAGAATAATAGCTAGTTTGTCGGTAAAACAATCGTTATGTAAACGATTTGCTTACATTCTAGATTCCAGCAACTAAACCCTTAAAATTATTAAATCAAATGAAACTTGAGTTAGCATAACAATTACCTAAATAATTAAGCCGTCCACATCATAGTAGAGCATCTAGGAAATGGCAGGAACTGTTCCTGATACGTCCATCGAGTTATGGTTGCACTTGGGAGATTGGGGGAGAGTAACAGAAGCAACTCGGATCTCACGCGTCTTCGCGTTTTCTTGAGCCAGGGGCACCCAACGGATCGTTTCGGTAAATTATCTTTTCGGAAGGCCTTTATTCCCTCTGATTTTCTTAAGAAAATTGTCACCTCGAACTTTCGTGATATGAGAAATTTAATGTCTGTTGTTTTCGGATTGTTAAAAATGTCGTTTTGAGTACCGAGAAAAGGTCAGCTATCATTTTCAGAAAGGCAATAAGACCTAATGTTTTCGGGAAATGGACAAAAAAGCACTCATAAATTCGAGAATACTCAAGTTCCCCTAAAATAACTGAACAGATAAAATTATTTTAGCACAACCTAAAATTAACCTACAGAGCTTTAAAAGTACTCCAGATGGCACAAAAACAGCATTTAAAAGCATTCGATAGAAAACGGTCGTTGGGTGTCCCTGTTGAGCGTTGTTAGTTGCCATTCAAGTACATTCTTAACTTGATAGATGAAAGTTAAGCACGGACTGATTCTAATTACAACGACTTTATTCACGTTATTCAATACAGAATATTTGATGTACTCTATGCAAATAAGTTCTATTGTGTTTGAAGAGGTCAGGAGACCTTGTCACGCCTAAAAGACCTTTTCTTCAGGTTCACAACCGCATACGTGGTATGGAAACCATGCATGCTTATGAGGTCAGTAGTAAAATTGCTGGTTGTGGTGTCCAAGATCGGTGCGGAATCTAAACTAAGTATGGCTGTGGTATTTATCACGTTTTATTTAAGAGCTCGATCTGAAAATAGTGTCAATGCTTCCTCTGGCTAAGCCAAAATAATGCAAAAAAAGTCGTCAAGTCGGTACGCCCTGTCTATTCCGGCCCGCGAACCAACAAGAAAGATCTTGCACAATGGTCGCATAATTATTTTGGTGTCAACCGTCTCTTTCACCCAGACACTGCAGGCTACCACTTCACGTGAGACAATGAATTTTTACGGAATTCATTAAATGTGCTGCGTGGTTTTTCGCGGTTCTCCTTCAACCTCGATTCCCGGGCTTGAGTCATTAATACATTCTGTAGTGATTGTTAAATCGGATATACAGGCTAATCACGATTTCTCGAACCCTCCATTTTCCAAACTTCCTGCCACCTCGAACAAAAAGTGGTTTTCCCTTCCCTTGGTTGAACGCCACAATTCTACCTCCAAATTGCCAGACTATCCTTTCAAAATTTTCGGCGTTTCCCTTGCAGGTTCTAAAAATCGGGATTGAACTGTACTCTCTTTATAGTGGGTACGTGCATGGCTCGACCTTGGTTTGACCACGGGCGCATTACCAGCAGAAGTATTCAAGGCGGTTAAGTAACATAAATGATTTGCATTGGTATTGATGCACACCTACCAAACACTGTGTTGCTTGCGTTTTCAAACATTTGTAAAAGCGACAACGCTCGGCGTAGACTCATTGCCTTTGTCGTTTTTGATTATCTCTGGCTTCTCATTTCGAAAAATAGTGACACCGGTGTAACAAGTTCCAAAATCAATTCCGATTGCTGTAGCCTTAGACATGATTTTGAAATTTCACGGCTCTTACTCTGCAAAGTTTCTCTAGCGAATAGTGCGTTGAGAGGTCGCGCATCACTTGCTTTGCAAGCAAGTATGGAGCTTTACATTTTTAAACCCCTGGGAATATTTCCCCTACAAAAGAAAAGGGATGTACGTCGTTGTGAATAGACCAATTTCGATCTATTAAAATTCAGCATAACACAACAGACCTCAGCACGAGGCTCTGGGGAATAAACCCCACAAACTCTGTAGATATTCTCCAGAGTCTCATACTGAGCTTTTTTTTTCGGCTGAATTTTTAATATATCGAAATTGGTCTTTTAGGATTACTGATTTCCTTTGGGCTCTTTGGGCGGATATTTAAAGGCAACTATTACTGGACGTTAAACTTGAAACCGAGGGAGAGTAAATAGAAAAACCGATCAAATTCTACTTCGAGAATCAAACATACACATAATTAAAAATATAAGGTCTAAACCGGGGTAAGGAAAATATTATATTCTGGCATAAACCAGGGGTGTAATTTTCTACCACAGGGAGGCACACACCTTGCAATTTGTTTAATTATTTATATTGTTCCCAATTAGTACAATAGTGCTAAATAAACTAGACACTTAAATAAAGCTATTTCTTTTTTTATTGTTATTTATTTAATACAAATTTCGAAAAGTATCCCACGGTAAGGGCCAACTCCCTAACTTGTTTGGCGTCACAAAAGCCTCTTCGAAACGACGTCCAATTAAGCGCTTGATGTCCAATGTAAAAAAGGAAGCATGCTTATATTAAACAACTAGATTATGAGGCTGAAGGCCGAATCAACTATCACCTCATAGAAGTCGAGAGCGAATAATCTAATTGTTTTAGTAAAAATCGTAATAAACGAATCATATCTCGGCAAAAAAATGCCAATTTAATGTAACAACATCCACGTAAATAGTACACCTGTAGCTTACAATAGACTATCACGAGTACGAAATATTATTGACAGCTTTGAAAACTCACTTTGAAAACGAGAACGGCGCCCTAATCGAAGAGAGGCCAATCGAAAATTGGAAAAAGTCCATGAAAAATACCTCGATCACCACTCAAAGTACACAAGAGCGGCTGAAATGGTTTATCAATTACAGGAAAACTCTTTAAGGTCCTTTAATGGTAATTGTTTACGATGGACATCGTGCAATTGTGAAAACTGTGCGGCTGTGGCTGAACGAAGTTTTGGATTTGAACAACGTGCTGATTGTGTGGATGAAGCTCCGGGTGAAGCTGCGGGGTTGTCAACTGCGTCTGGTTCACGTCAAAACCACTGGTTGAAGGAACAGCTAAAGCACTAGGACGTGGACTGGATTGATCGTTAGAAGTATGGCTCTGGCCACTGTAAAATTAGAAATACAAAACAAACAAAAATCCTTTAAATACAATTTCAATTGTTTACCTTCTATAAGCCCGCTTGTTTACAGAAATATTTTCACGCACGAGTACTATCCATCCGGGTATTTTCCTCGGATGGGCACTATGGGCTGATAATGTCTCTCCGCGGATGAACACTATCGCGTCACGTGATCAATTTAAACCAATAAGAATCGGAGAAAGTTAAGCGGTGAACTATAATGGCTGATAGTGTGCAATAGCTCAGCCAATCAGATTGCGGCATTTGCATTAGTATACTAGTAGATTTTTACTAAATATATATATGCACGTAGAATTTACCGGAAAGTACAGTTATACAGCAGGCCCGAGGATATGGGCTTTGGACGGATTGCAGTATTTATAAATGCTTATTAACGCGCATCGCGGGGTTTTTGTCTATCGTACAGGTTCGACTTGTTCACCTTATAAGCCACACACCTATACAATGGACATACGTTTCCTGTGATATGAAAAAACACCCCCCATAGTCTGCTATTACTGTGGGCTAATTCCTAACGATACGTATGTCACCTATTAGAGTCTCAGAGGATTAATTGAAAGAAAAGCTTTAATTTGACGAGACTCGAGTTGAAAAATCTACCAAAAATAAGAAGCAACCCGGTTACTAAGCGCATGTCTATCGAATTGAGGTTGCACATGAAAGGTTCGGGGAGAACGTAACGAAAGAAGCAACTCGATCTTACGCGTGTTCTCTCGACCTCCTCTGACACCAACTGCACACATAACTTTCGGTAGAGATCGATAAGCTAAAAATGGACCAATTTTAATCATACCAAATTAATTCATACCACGTTGTACATGTTCCTTCTTACTTTATTTATGCAAACGATTTCTGTTGTGTGTTTGAAGAAATCAGTACCGAGGCTCGTCATGTTTACTATTGTTTTTTAACAATTAGACTACAAGCTCAAAGAAAACGAGGCCGGGCAGTCTAATTGTTTTGCATGGAAAAAACGGGGCGAACAAGAGGGCGGCAGGAGGTGGGGAGAGGCAACTAATTTCATCAACATTCATTGAAGGGGAATGTCACATTCTCATTTCATACCCCCCAAGAAATACCATATTTTTACTGTCCAATTGAAACAAAGTCATTGACAATTGTAATTCACTTGACAGTTTGTCCTCATGGCAATTGGTGATAAGTTTCTGAATTCCAGTTAAAGGCATGTCTAACTTTGCTTTGCCTCTGTTACCAAAAAAGGATACTAATCACTATTAGGGATAAAGAGACGACACTTCTGAACAAACATATGTAAATCAATAATATCAATTTATTTTTTGACGCTTTAGAATTAAAAATGTCTCTGGTAAAGTACTCCGACGGTGACTCACTTCGTAGATGGTTACAAAATTTCCTGTAACACCTCTCTACAAAGCTTTACTTTTCTAACGATACAAAAACAAAATTTATCCATATTTCTTTTGATTTCTTGTATGATGGAGTTCTTCTGCTGTGTTTTTCAACCTGAAATGAAAAGAATATATGCATTTTTAGGGCAACATTGTATTATTGTTCTTCAACTGCACTGTAATTTCTGTTACTAACCACCTCGTTTAAAACAAAACGCAATGTTCGAGAGATCAAATAAACGACACATGAAATAATTCTCGAAAATTTGATACCGTGGCAAACGAGTGGCTTATTAAATAAAGAAAATGTTAAGAAATTCTCCAAATTCGGTAAACTCAGGTATCGAGAAATATTTCACTTCTAGAATCAAGAAATTAAGTTGTCGCGGAATTTCATTAACGAGGTGTTAGGTTATGTTCTGATTCGAACTGATGTAGATCGAATACAGTTACATGCTATCGATAAGGTCTGTATATGGTAGTTTTCACAGGATCAAAGGAGCAAATAAAGTGAAAAAAAAAAGCTTCAGATGGTCCAAACAGAATCCATACATAAAACTGTGGAATACAAACCAACATGATCTTTTGTTTGGGGGAACGTGTATTCGATTTTGTAATTCGTTCATATTAAGCTATATGAAGTTACATACTTATACTCAAGGAACCCTAACCTGTGATCTCAATAAATTTGCCTAGTTACACGGATCAATCGTGACTTGAGAACATACTTTTCGTTAAGAAAAAAAAAAGGTTAGCAGTTTGGCATTTCCAAGATGGAACCGATCACCCAGAGTCCAATGCAATCAGCACCATAATACTGCAGGGACGACAACTACATTTTACCGCTCGGTAGTAGTAGCAGCAGTATTACCTATTTTGGTTTGTTCTATTCACTCTTTCGGCATTTCTGATCTCTTGATATTTCCAAAGGGTGCAAAAGGCTGACCCTGCGGCATATTGGAGCGGCCAATGGCAAGTCCTCCAATGGCAGGTCCACCCAGGTGTACTGAAAATGCAACCATAAACAACAGCTTTAAGTTCTTGACGTTAATTGGACAGCAATATTAAACTCTTAGCGGAGCACACATTTACACAATTCTTGCTTTCTTTGTAAGTCATCTAAAAGTCAAACAAGTAATCAGGGCATTTGCTCGACTATTGGGGCGACTATTCAATTTCCATAACGCTGGGAAGGAGTAGTCGGAAAGGAGGAGCATTTATTTGCGTACTACAAATTTGGAATTACCGTAAATAATCTATTATCTAATATTTACCAAAAGACACAATCAGAAAGTATTCATTTTAACTGTTCCCAGTCCTTGTGTGCCCTCGGCAAATGGAATTGCTCAGAGTTAGGAGTGGTCTCATCTTCGTCAGTTCCCTTTCATATCCAGCTCAATCTTATGAAAGGGGTAACACTTCACGTAAGTCTTTCCATGGACCAGTTACACTCTACGAAATATCACGGCACTTGATTTTGTTCCTTGAATGGTCCTGTTCTTTCTACACTATCTTCTGTCGATGGAGTACTTTATAATAATAACGTAACGTAAAATTATAGTCACTCATGAAACGCGCCTTCCGGTTGGTACTAAATAAATGTAAAAATCAAGGTTTACTTACGGCCAACGGGTAGCGTAGCCGCAGGCAGGGCGCCAGTTGCGGGCACAGCGGCGAATGATGGTACAGCCGCGACTTGATGTGCGACTGGTGCAAACAGTGGGGCGTGGTAGGTGGCAGGAAGTGCCAGAGGCGTAACAGCAGCTGCGGGTAGCGCGGCCGGGAGAGAGGAGGGTACAGCCAGTGGTCCAGGACCAACCGCACCAAATGGAACTATTTGCCGCTTTTGTTTTCCCCGTTTCTGGGCAATGCTATTTTTAACATCGAATGTTGCCAAGGCATGACCAGGGAAACCAATGCTAGTAAATCCAGGATGTGTGATGGGGTGGCCATAAGGTGCGGCGTAACCCCAGCCTCCGTGTCCGTGACCAAATCCTCCATGTCCGAATCCTCCATGTCCCCAACCCCATCTTTTAAATCCTTTCAAGCTTCCCTTAGGGATTTTGGAACGATACACGGATGTACCAGTTACACCACCAACTCCATGATAGCCAGCTAAGCCTAAAACAGAGTAGAAAATTAGAATACCAAATGTTTGCTTTTTCTCGTTAGCCCCGAGTTCAAATTCTCGGTCACGCTTTGTAAATAGCCAACTGCAAGTTGGGATTTTTAACTATGTTACGTTTATTTGAAATATTTGTTTCCTTTGTTCCAATGGCATGCCTGTAAACTAGCTAAGCTTAGTGCTTATATAGTTTAGTGCATGACCACCATTACATTTTACATTGCTTCTTTACCGCGTTCTTGGAGACTATCTTCATGATATTGTCTTGATAACACGATTAGAAGCCGAACAAAAAAGATTCAGATCTTATTTAGTAGATAACAACACCTCTGATTAGCTTAAGGACTCACTACTAAAATACTTTCATTAGTTTCTACACTTATTGGATTAATTAGATCACTGACAATATTGTATCTCGAACCGTTCACGTGCAAATGGCCATTTCACTAGATTTCGATGTACAAGCGACTACATGCAGTCCACCCTCTGACTCAGACGACTAGTACTGCCCATTATACAAGTAGCAGCTTGCTTCTGTATCATATATGACAACGTTTAATGCAAGTAAATCTACATAGCTCTACTGTTGGGTTACCTCCCATTCCTCCGAATCCATATCCAAGACGGTAGTTGTCGCCACTGGCATAGCCATAACCTAGATGAATAGTTTGTTTCTTATGCTCGGAGTAATCAGCTGCCACAGGGATCTCTCCACGAGTGTTCGGCTTAACGTCCTTATTCTTCTGAGGAACTTTTGATCGGGCAAACCAGAATGGGTATCCGTAGCCATATCCATAACCTGGATATCCGAGTCCATAACCATAGCCTGGGAAACCAAATCCATGACCAAGTCCTAAGCCGCCAACGTATCCTCCAAATCCTAATCCGTAACCTCCGCATCCTCCGCATCCTCCACATCCTCCACATCCTCCGCATCCTCCGCATCCTCCGCAACCTCCGCAACCTCCGCAACCTCCACAGCCGCAGCCCCCGCAGCCCCCAAAGGGGATTCCACAGCGTTTAGATGCCTTCCCCTGGGCTGCTGGCTGATCTTGAGCTTTGGCAGGTACTGATACTGGTTGACCAGGCTTTGCAGCGCTGGCCACCGCAGCTGCAGCAACATTTGTTTTATCTCCCTGTGAGGGTTCCCCACCAGCTGGCTTTACTGACAATGGCGCCGCCTCTTTCGACGGCAATTTTTCATCATGAGCATTATCAGAAGAACCTTGGGCACCCACGTTAGATTTGCAGCACCCTTCATTGAAAAACGTCCAGGGTCCACCTCCAATGGGTGTGGGTCCACCTCCAAGACAAGGAGCTCCAAAGCCACCATAACCTCCGAAGCCACAGCCACCACAACCTCCACAACCTCCGAAACTTCCACAACCTCCACAACCTCCACAACCTCCACAACCTCCGTAACCGCCATAGCCACCCCAGCCTCCAAGGGCGCCACATCCACCCCAGTTCCAATCACCAAGTCCTCCACAACCACCCCATGGTCCTACACCTAGGTCACCCAGCCCGCTACATCCTCCACAACCCCCCCATAGTCCCCATCGTTTGCTTGCCTTTTCGTCCTTTTTATTGGCCTTAGGGGGAGATTTGTTCTCTTTGGCTGCCTGGGGGCTGTCTTTGGATTGCTCTTCTGGTTGTTCTTTGTTGTTTTTAGCCAGCTTAGATCGGAAGATTCCGCAACCACCACATCCACCGCATCCCCCACATCCATGTCCACATCCTCCGCATCCTCCATGACAACATCCTCCACATCCTCCGTGGTGCCCATATCCCCAACCGCCACATCCTCCACATCCTCCACAGCCACCAAACCAGTCACAATGTCCGATGTCGCCATACCAGTCTCCATGACACCCCCATCCACCGTGACAACCACCACATCCGCCACATCCGCCACATCCGCCACATCCGCCACATCCGCCACATCCGCCACATCCGCCACATCCGCCACATCCGCCACATCCGCCACATCCGCCACATCCGCCACATCCGCCACATCCGCCAAGTCCACCTAGTATGTAATCAAGGCCACCGTTATTGCCACATCCACAACATCCACCACAACCACCACAACCACCACAACCACACCGCTTGGATTCTTTCTTCTTTTCGTCTTCAGCACTCCTCTTTCCTTTCGGTGCCTCCTTCTTTTCTCCAGAGATCTTTGACTTTCCACAACAAGAAGCACAGCCAAATGGACCAGCCACTGTATTGTACCCACTTCCACATGGATCTAGGACCTGTTTGAAATAATCTTACTCAGTAAACGAGAAGACAGATTATACACTCTTAGCCTCGAGTCTTAGAAAGGCGTCTTCTTGTATATTTTAAATTCTTCCTTACGGCTTGCTCGTTACTTTTTCCCCTGAAAGAGGCTTTTAGGACAATTTGGTTGACTGGCTTACAGGACACGACCAAACTTGGTCGTACAAGTTATAAATTGTAACTGAATAAGCGCGAAGATAATACTGAGGAATATTGTTACGCCCGTAATTGTGGCAGTATAGACGAGGCCCGCACTAAAACGTCTGCACACCAATACAATAACACCGTAATTGAGCGAAAACCCACGAAACTCTATTGCGAATCCGCTCAATAGAGTTGTGTGCTTAGTACGGGTTCATGTTATAGAAAATTTGGAAAGAGTGTTCGGTACTTGCTGAGGCCGGGTGTCCGCTTAATACTAACGCCTGGTTCACACTTNAACACTCGATGTTACGGTATCACGTAACGTTAGAAAGAGTTTCCTTTGATAGCACGGTAATGATAATAACAATCAGCAAATGTTCTTATATTGAGCTATACGGGATACAAGCAATGCAAGCTTTATCTTTAACCAACTGTCATGTTCTTATAAATTGTTTTTAACGTCGTCTGGGTTGTTCAAGGTTTTCTGTTACACTATTTCAAATGGACCAGCAAAAAATTGACTTCTTCTCCACACATTCCCTAAATAACTTAGTCCTTACAAAGTTTAGCCGTGGACTTCCAACGTTTCCGAAATTTCCCGAGGAATGTACATGTAAAGGCTTTAGAGTTATTTCCGAGGTAGATCAGGAAATGTTTCAGCTATGTTTACATTGATGGCAGCATTAAAACGTGCCGCGATCACGCTGACTTAGATGTCCATATGTGATTGGTTCTCAAGAGGTAAAGATGAGCCAGAATCAACGGTATGTCTTAAAATATATCGTGACATGGCTGTTGTGATGATATGCCAATTGTCTAGATCAGCCAATCAGCGTTAAGTTTGACTGTGTGCTCTAGTGTTGTTCGTTTTACAACATGGCCGTGTAGCAGTGCTTTGTTCTCCGAATAAAGTTCTGTTGAGTTTACTGTTTATCGAGTTTATCGAGCCTGTTTTATAAAGCTGTGTTAAAATACATTTTCTTTTTGTCGAGAGTTAGTTTACCATATCTTCGACAGCTTTTAGCAATACGAGCGCCGAGCTGAGTTTGACATACTATGTCCTTCAGTTTGTTTCCATAAGCCAATTATTTGCGAAAACGTACTACTTCAATAACTTCCTTCAAGACCAAAAAACACAACCCGTCATAATAAAGCCGTTATGTTGCTTAGGAATGAAATAAGGTACACGAGGACAGTAAAAACCGGCGTATAAGAGATTAAGAACCTATAGCCTCTAGTTTGGCTTTTAAATACCCCAAAATATAAGAACCTGTTTAGCCTAACAGAAAATAAAACAGGTTCTTATGTGAATAATCAACTAAATTATGATTATCAAAATGTGGTTTTATATATACTAAATTGAAAATAATTATGCAGTATCAGTGTTTAAGCATTTAGTCCTGATAAGTAAATTTTGATAACAGATATTGTAGTAAAGGGCCACACCCAAGCTTGTAGTAGATGTTTTGGTCCACAGCAATTAAAAATCACTAGTGGAAAACAAGAACCTTTTTCAGAAACTCATTAGCCTGAATTTTCAATAAGAAAATATATAGATCAAAATACAAGAACCTGTTTAGAATGACTTAGAAAAATCTAAGTTCCTATAGGATTTTTACTGTAAGCTTTAAAGGCAAGCGTAATAAGAATCTGCGTTAAATATAACGAAGATAAAATGCGATAAAAGAGGTATGGTTGAACAAGTAAGTAACAAACGTATTTTGTATTTCTGGAGATAGCGAATGACCACTAAACAGATAATGTCAGCATATCTCTCATTTTCCAACGATGCTCTTTTAAGAATTTTAATGGAAACAATTAAAAAAGCGGGAATGGTTATATATGTGCGCTACGCGTTGTATGAAACGGGAACAACGAGGCCAACACCTCCCAAGACTAACCGCGTTACAAGAATAAAATTAGAAAATGGGAAATGTATGTCTTTTTCTGAAAAGAGGTAAAACAAAAGTACACGCCTCAAAAAACATTTTAATTTATATATAGACAAAAAAAATTAACAAGGAAAATCAAATAAACTAAATTAAACTGCAAAAAGAGATTTAAAACCAGAGGCAACTCTTTTTTATCGATTCGTTTTCATAGCGTGAAAGATGGTAATTTTATTCTCATGTCTTTTACAGTTGTTCTGTACTTCTCGAAGTAAATAACTTTAAGTCATAGCCTATATACCACAATTTAGCTAACCACCGAAGTCACCAGTTACAACCAGCACAGAGTACAATAGGGGATATAACTGTTAAATGAAAAACAAATAAACTCAATGTTTTCTTTTATTCATATTGAAATTTCATGTCAGTGATAGCCAAAACAATGAAATATTTGGCTTGCGCCTTTTACATTGGTGTTTATATCTATACGTTCATTTTTAACTAATAAATAAGTCACTTACTGTCGTTTTAAGTGTTATTTTTGTTTTGTTTTGATTTTCTGCTTTCCTGCTTAAATATCGATTAAATTCCTGGAACATTTCTATTGCGAGCGAAGAGCAAATGCTAATTACAGAAGTCCAAAATCGCTTGATGTTGTTAAAATGAGAATAAGTAACCACCAAATAAGAGCTCAACGCCGAGGGAACACACTGAATCACGTCAAAAGACATCTCACCCTTCGTCGAAAATAAAACCGTCATTGCCATATGTTCATGATAATGATTTAGCTTAACTTAATGAAGATTTATCACAAGAAGAATGTATAACTGATGATAAAGACTTATAGAAAATGAGAACTGCGCACTCGCATTATCAACTCTTCAGATACAATTTGGGTCACCAGTTCCGGCTGGTTTTAACTAGAGCATAATGCAAGCATAAACAACGTAAACGAACATAAACATTTCCCAACAAAGATTTTATTGAACAACGCACCACTGCGTCTGCGTTTCCCGCTAATGTATATGCTTATGTGCTGATGAAAACCGGAATTCAAACGCCACTTTGACCGAAACAATGGAAAATAATTGGTTGCAGACACAGGAGAACGTAAAACGCAAATTAAATAAGTAGTGAACGCAAGGATAGAAACGACATAATTCAATTACGTAAAGTGAGATTATTGGTGGTTATCCTAATGCGTCAAAACTTAAATCAACTACTTTTCTCACTTGTTACTAAGTAAACTCGACATTTATCGCCAATCTCTACGGTACAAACACTGTCTTTTCACTGAAACACCGTGAGGTAATTCCGGTTCGTAAGTCATCTTTAGATTCGATATAACAAGGAAAGCCATAATTTAACATGTACATTTAGCCCTGGAAACTCCATTTTCTTGGGGCTAATAAACATGTATGTAGTATCAAGGACCACTAATGGACATATTTGCGATACTAAGAAGACGTTAGTCCAACTGGAAAACTACCTCATGACGTTTTACATGAGATGGTAAAAGGAAATAATCCACCTTAAAATTCAGCATGATTTGAGCACTGCTATATGACAGGCAGGTAAATGTTGGATGCGACGAAGGGATGGCACATTGAGACTCATAATTCTGCTAAAGACTGTCATTACTTTCATTTCTTACCTCAACATCGCCTCCACAGGGTAGGCCACAACCAGTGAAGCCACGACCGTAGCCCAATCCATATCCTAAGGCGCCATATCCCAGCCCGCCGAAGAAAGGATACCCATAGCCGTATCCTAATCCGTATCCTCCATATCCAAGTCCGCCATACCCTCCATATCCTCCATATCCTCCATACCCTCCATAGAAAGGCAATCCAAGATATCCAGCGCCGCCACAACAGTATCTTTTTCCAGCCTTGTTATTGCCAGGGTTGTCTGATGGTGGTGCACAACCGCAAGCATTCTTTTCTTTTTTATCGTCATTTGATTCTCCGCTTTCTGCTGTTTGTCCTTCTTCTCCTTTGTCTTCTACAGGCTTGTCGTCATCGGCTTCCCGTTTTGGTTTAGTCTCGGGCTGCTGCTTTTTATCCTTTTCTGAAATTTTGGATCTGTAGAAGCCACAGCCTGGGCCCCATCCACCGAAGCCTCCGAAGCCTCCAAAGCCCAAGCCACCGTATAAAGGTAAACCATATCCGCCCCATCCCCACCCACCGTGGCCAAACCCTCCATACCCTAGTCCATGCCCAATCCCTCCAAATCCACCACATCCTCCCAATCCACCCCAGCCGCCAAAACCACCACAACCTCCAAATCCACCACAACCCCCACATCCACCACATCCACCACACCCACCACATCCACCACAACCTCCAAATCCACCACAACCTCCACAGCATTTTTTGTCCGCTTTGCCTGTTGTGTCGCGCTTTGTTTTACCGCTGTCTTTCTCATCTTTAGGAATGTTGGACTTATAGAAGCAGGAACCGAAAGGCCCATAACCTAAGAAGGGGCTGTAACCACCGAAGGCAGGAACTCCGAAGCCGTATCCAGGATGTCCGTAATTAGCCCAGCCTGGATATCCGAAACCAGCGGGAACACCAACGTGGCCATAACCACCATAGCCGTAAAACCTCTTCGCTACATTTTCCCTCCTGTTTGCCCCCTTTTTACTGGATTTTGTAGGAACACCAGATCGGAAGAAGGATGTGGGAAACAATGCTGGGCTGGGTGCAAATCCAAATCCTGGCCAACCTCCCAAACCATAACCATAGGGTCCGAGTCCAACACCGTAATAACCGCCCCAAGGGCCAGCAAAACCGCCATAATATCCAAGACCATAACCCCAAGGATGTTCTACCCCAAATTTTTTAGAAGAAGCTTGGTTTTTTTTGCCTTTTGGTATGGTGGACCTGTACCAATAGCCAGGCCAGCCAAGACCTGCTCCGATTCCATATCCAGCACCAAAACCAAAACCATAGCCAGGCGAGAATCCACCGGGATAAAAACCTCCAAATCCTAATCCATGAAGTCCACCCCAACCGGGATAGCCCCATCCACCAAACTGGCCGTGGTGGAACCACCTTTTAGCACCTTTTTGTTTCTCATCTTTGCTGCTTTCGATCTCTTCATCTGCCGCCTCTCTTGAAGTTGATTCTTCTGGGGTTTGTTTAACAGAATTTGTATCTTCCAGTTTTTCCTCATTTTGCAGTTCCTGTTTTGCTTCGTCTCCCTCTGCGGACTCGTTTTGTTTATCTCCCGCTGGTTTGTCCTCTTCCTTTTCCTTTGGTTCCTCAGCTGAAGAATCAGGTGCGTCTTCTTCAGGTTCTTCTCTTTTTAACCGCTCTTTTTCGTCATGGTCTTGAGCAAGCGGTTTACCGTGTACAACGAGAAGACTTGCTATGACTAGAAATACTAATAAAAGAGAACGATGCAGTCCCATCTTGGCTACAGTCTTCCGTGAGGCACGAAAGACCAAACTAAGCCCTTGGTGAAACCACACTGATCTTGCAAATAAGAGAACTACACTTACGTAAGTTATTAAATATTCTTTTGTAATATCTAAAATAACGTGGCAAATAAAACATTTAACAGACAAAACATTTTGCCTTTGATTTTAAAATGTAAGAAAACTTCAATTGAATGATCGAAGAGTCTATATAGCGATTATCAAGTTATTTATGAAATTAAATGTGCGCTTTATTTTAAAAACGAGTTACTTTCTTTGATATTTCTAAGAGAGAAATCATTGGTCATACTGATTAATATTCAGGTCACCTGTTTGAGAAGACAGGGGTGGGTGATTTTGCTTTGTTCAAATTGTTATGGCTGTGTTGGCCCCGTGAAGAGTCAGCTGGTACCCAACCATATTTGGTTACCTCCTACAAATGGTCAACTGCGCTAATCTAGAGGAACTGTTGATCTAAAAGAAAATAAAGTCATCACGCTACGATTGCAATAAATTGCTCATTTGTATATCGCTTTAAAATTGTATTTTGAAGCGTTTTATGTTCAGACCAATTATTTTGTCTAACTTGTGGACAAAGAACAATTTCTTTAATCAATTATCATGTCACAAAGCAAAACAAACAATTAGAATTTTCACACGGATTCTGTAGAAATATTTATCGATCTCAGCCTCAGAATGTTACAAACAACAGTCTCTACACAAGGCTTCACGTTTCAACTTATTAACGGCGTTTTACTTTACTTCTTTTTGGTTATGGTCAAAAAACATTTATCGAACGTTGTCACAGCTTTTACGCGAGTATCCGATATTTTTGGCGGATGTTTTCTTTGCCTGTTTTACTTTCTTGGATGGAATTTTAATTCCGCCAAATTGTGCATTCGATTTTAATTATATGGAAAAAGGTCACCGATTCCTTTGTTATTTAGTTGACCCTCTTGAGAGGTCAATCAAGTTAAACTCTTTCGGCAATTAAAATATATTAAATTTAAGTCAACACCTTGTTAAACAGGACGACCACCCGCGAAACCAAGCGCGTTGGAAACTGGTGCCATTTATAAATTAACTGAAGCTCTCCCTCGCAAGATCAAGGTGTTTTTAAACAAGTACCTTAAATTACTTGGCCCACTTGTATGTACACCCTATACTAACGAACAATACAAATCCAGACAAATTTTGAAGCTTGCAAAGTTTTGCTGTTGAAAGGATGTTGCTGGTACGAATACCAGTCTACTGTTACCCCTGCAAAACAAGTATCTTCCGACGCTCATCCAGAACTCTATAATATTTTGTTTGTTTGTAGTAGGAAGGAAAATGAGAAAAAGGACTAAACGACAGGTACATCTGTGTGGCCAAATTGTGTAACTCAAAAAATAAATTGTCTGCTTTATCATTCCATTATCGAAAGGAATAAAAGCTACCTCAACTCTGTAACGGGTTAAAACTTTCGGTAAGGACACAATTTACCACAGCGATACCTGAACATAAGAAGATCTGATATTTTGAAAAACCCACCATAAAGATAAAGACCATTGTTGCAAACAATACTTCATAGTTTTACTTCGAGGAAATTAGTATCTGTTTATGTTTAGACTGCTTGTGATGTACACTAATCGAAAGTGTACATAAACGTACGGTTGGTTTGCAACCGATTCGTTAGTTAATTCAACGAAAATCAGTAGTTGCGAAATAGAAAATGACGAGTGAGATTATCAAATACTTTACTTTAAGTCTAAAATTGCACACAAGGGTTGCACTCTCCCATAATCATAAATTACCGTACCGATCAGAAAAAAAAGACTAGTGGGCGGTCCATATGATAAACATGTATACCCGCCTGCCCGAAAGAGAAAATATTGGTCTGTTTACGTATAAAATCGGTTATGTTTACAAACAAATCGAACCAAAGAACTCCTAGTTACTGATAAGTGTAACCAGAAGAACAGCCTCTTGCCATAGCTGGCTAATATTTAAGCATGTTATTTCTTCTTTCTTGGCTTATTCACGTTAAATGAAATCCCTGGAGGCAATATATGTCCATTGTCCATCAAAAGTTTTTTGCGCGGTGAGATTATTCCTCAACCGTGAGAACCATGGCGCGCGTTGTCCTTCCCTTAGTTTTCCTTTATTCAAAGGCGCCGCGCCACACGCTCGCATTTCCCCTATTTTGCTCGGCTGCTAAAAACGTTTCCAGCGGTTAAGACATCAGGGATGGAGCGGCGGACAAATTCGTTTTCAGAACTGGAGATGCTTTACGTTCTCAAACAACTTGTGCAGAGAACATTAATGAAAGGTACGTTTATCTCGACCTATTAACAATATTTAGCCTCCGAACGGTTCGGTTAAGCTTAATTAATTCGCAATAGTGATCAACAACTATTTTCTCCTTACAAGATCAAGATACTGTCAGACGAACAGGTGACGAGAATGGAGAAAATCGTCAGATAGAGAGGAGCGTGTGTCTAGATGCGTCAGAAAATTCTCACAGGTAATATTTTGAGAAATGTACGGAAACCACTAGGGAGAATTGACGTTTCAATCGAATTCGATGAGCAGATATCAATATCAATAATAAGACATCAATAAAGCCGAGCAACTGGAGATTTCAGAAATGCAAGTAAAAAGCTATGGTTAAGTTTAATAGCATGTGTCATACATACAGACAGAGGGAAAAACATTCTGCGTATGACAAAGTCGTAACAGAGTGATGAAAATGGAGAATAAACAGTTTCGTGCAATACTAGGAGGAGGAGGGGGCAGTTTACTAGTCCCTGAATGACTGATATATCGCCACAAAATGGTTTATGACTTTCCCTGCTTTATATTATTGTAAAATGAGTGGCAGTCTCGGAAATATGTTATTTTTCAAGGGCACGTGAATTGATCGAAGGCACTTTATCTCAGTTGTCTAAAAGACCTCACGAGGGTATTTTCAAGTGTTTATCTAACAATAAGTTGAGTAAAATCATGGCAAATAATTTGATGAAAATGAACATGTCGTGACAATATTGACAAGTTTTACCCTTACGGGCAAATATATTTTAGCAAGGTACTGTGTATTTATCGGATGATTAAGAAGACACAATGCCATTTTCTAGAGCTACTCTTATAGTTTGCTACTGGACATTAGACCGTACACTTCTGGTCACCTGCTTCGCGTGTCCTTTTCAAACGAAAATCTAAATCAGCCGAAACAAATTTCGTTTAGGGAGGGGAAAAAACAATACACCCTTTTTAAATTTACCTTGTTAGATTGTTAGCATTGCTGTTGTTGGCCACAGACTTAGCGACTTGGGCTTTTATAGATTATTTTCCGCTAATGGTCTGGTAAATTATCTAACTGAACAGGGTTAAATAGAGGAACCAAAACGAAACATGGGTGGTGTATATTGACACGTCCTTGTGCCCCGAAATTGCCTTTCAACATGTTTAACCAAGACCTGGGAGATATTCAATTTTTGCCATCAAAGGGCTTCACTTGAGGAGAAAGTTATACAAATGCTTTGTTTTGTCTTCCTTCCAACGTGACCTCAATATTGATTGTTTTTGCTCGATGAAAGTTCGTTTAACTGAATTCCCGATTGTCAAAGCAATGTATTATAACTAAATTATGTTGGGCAAACAACTCTATATATAATTTTAAATTAAATCTGTTCCTGTAGTCAGGGCTATTTTTAACAGCCCAATTTTTGATACATTTTAATTTTAATTTTTGTTGATAACAAACTCTAGTAAAAGCATGATAAGTAAAATACACATTTCCGCTGAAGTTTTTTCCTTAAGTGGAAATAAAAACAAGGTTATTGGGACTGTGCTTTTTCCGGTATAAAATTATGACATTTAAATTGTTCATTGAACTTAAGGGGTCACCAGCATTTCATGCACCTAAGACAGTGAACGTACCACTCATAGTGTGAAATTTTGATTGCCGTAACGAAAAAACCTGTCGCCCAGTGTGCTTTTGATTGGGGACAAACAGGTGATCTTTCTGGTTCCATGAGATAAGACGACTTAATCCAAATTCCGCGCCCCTTATGTCATCTTTTTACTGTTCAGGAACCGGCGACAGAAACTACTTGTGATGTAATAACAAAATAATGGTTGGAGAGATCGCGCTCATTTCCTTGGGGAAGTTTTAATGTACTAAAAAGCCACATAATGTTTGGCTGGTCGCCGCCAAATATTCTGGCGACTTTAGTACTTCTCATATCGCTTCTTCTTCTTTTTGACCGATCGCCAACACAAGCCAAGCCGTACCCTAAACAGAATATTCTAAGTACATATACAGCAGGTAACCTAGGAGGCTTCAATGAAGGAGATTGGCCAGAACTTGTAAACTTTAAAAATGGCCACTATATAGAGAGAGACAAGCGAAGTCCGACAGAAGTCGAGGACGAATCGTCGAACGATAGTGAAGGGAAAACGATAAGTGTGAAACCTAGAAAAAGGCAAGGCATTGAAACGCCCATAGAGCCTTTGACTTCCGATTCTGGTTTAGATAAAGACACTTTTCCGCGCTTGAACGGTGAAGAAAATGTCCGCTCTAAAGTGGATCAGCCTGAGAGCGAATCGATTGGTGTCTCAGTTGAGGAGGAAAAGAAAGCTGTTGATGACACAACTACCGACACCTCCACTACTCGACCTGTACAAGAATCAGCAGAAAACGCCAAAAGCAGCAATTTGAAATCAGAGGAATCAAACGATGGACAGGAGAAAGAACACGATTCTTCAACAAAGGAAAATGTGAACGGTGTTCAAATTCAACAGCACGAATCTGATCATTTGAAAACGGAAGATAAAGCTGATTCAAGTAGTGCAATTTTAAATAACGATCAAGCTACTGTGAACAAACTTAGTAGGAATGAAGGAGAAAACAAGGCTGAATCAAGCAGACCTGTTGATGAAAATGCACAAGTTCGAAGTGTCCAGGAGAGTGGTAAGCTCGGAAACGTTCCTAGTGACAAGAACGGAGTAAGGTTTCCTGGGGCTTCCCCACAGTTGGATGATAGCCAATCTAACACGGGTATCAAAACAAATCCGCAAGAAACTCAGACGACAATAGCAAGCAATGTCAACAAACAAGTAAATGTCGATGCAAAAATAACAACAGCCAAAGTTGAAACACCAGTCACAACAACTCCTTCAAAAGATCAAAACACCGCAGCTCCTGCAGAAAGCAATGCAGCAAGTTCAACAGCTAAAACGCAGTCATCGTCCCAAGAAAACGCAGCAATACACACCGTGCCCCAAATGCAAAACGTACCGGTAGAACCAGTGCGAGACGCCTTGGGAAACAGTGGTTCAGAAATTGTGACAACTCGTGGAGCATCGGATCTTGACTCGTACGCAGAAAGAGACACTGAACCGAAGCCGTCTAATGGACCTGAGGTGGGGCATTTTCAAGTGGATGATAAGTCTGCCGATTTAGAAATAAACGCAAATTCTGCTGGAGTGAAAGTTAAAGCGAAACCTGCTTCTTTGCAGGTGGTTTCACGCCCGGGTTCTCACTCAGCGTCGGCGGGTGCACAAGAGCGATCTTTGTATCACCATTATCATTATCCACCCTATCATCCCCATCACCACTGGTATCCTGGCATGCGAAGATCGTACGGTCATTTTCACGGCCACCATTTTTTCCATCCATATCATTCTTTTCCTGAAAGACGTGGTTTTGATAGCTTTTACGACGAAGCACCCTTTTATCGCCGACATATGCGCTACTGGTACCCTCGCCGTCATCGACACCATTTTCATGACTCTGATTTATACGAACGGTCGCGGATGGAAGAGCCGGAAAGTTACCCAAAATATCGTGGACGGAGACGTCACAAAAGGCGTTTCAGGCACATGAATGGGCCGTATAGAAGGCAGTTTTACAATAACATTCCGATAATGAACGGTATGGAATCGCCACAGATGGGTATGACACCAGAAGAGGGAACAATGCCACAGCTACCTATTGGGGGAGGAATGCCATTTACCCAACGGCAGAATATAATAACTCCAATGCCTGCACCTATTAACATCGCTGGAAATCCACCTCCTGGACTACTCGGAGGAGTTAATGCAGCCAACTTTGCAATGAACGGACTAAACGGAATGAACGGACTAAACAACTTCAATGAAGTAGGTCAAATGAATAGCTTGAATGCATTTAATGGAATAAGTGGCATGAACCGCATGACCAACATGGGTGCAATGGGTCTTAATTCTCTTGGACAAATGGGAGCAATGGAAGGCCTACCAGCAGGATTCAATAGCCGTATGGAAGGAAATGCAAATTTTGGGGAAATCCCTGGAACAGCTAGAGCACTAGGCACGAGGAACGCAAACACAATGCCTGAGGCTCCACGGATGGCTTTCAAGAAAACTGCAATTCTTTCAAATATGAAGAGTAAAAACGCAACCAAAGAACATACAAACGACCAAAAGATGAATCCTAAAAGGAATTCCACAAATGTAAACTTTAAGAAAACGCATAGTACGGAAAGCAAGCACAAAGGAAAAGTGAATATTAAAAGCTGGGAGAAAACTTTGAAGCGATATCACAGACTGAACGTGTTTACGTCAAAGGCACAAGAACGACATCAATTTCGTAGAAATGCTAAATCTTCTGGGAAATCAGAAACAAAGAAAAAAGATGAAGAAATAAAAAGAAAGCATAGCGTATCACATCCACACACACAGCATGCAAAAGACGTAAAAGGAAACCGGAAAAATGCAATTGTAATGCATCGCCCACCAATCATCTATCACCCGCCACCAGAAATTTACCACCGTCCTGACATAGTCGTTCATCGTGCACCCATAATGCTACATCGACCACCTATAATTTACCATCAACCTCCTGTTGTCGTTCATCGACCTGCAATAATCTACCATCAGCCACCGATAGTATTCCACCAGCCACCTCCAGTAGTCCATCAGCCAATCTTACGCTCACATGACACGTGGGTAACAAAGCCGATGGTGTATCACACAGCATCCATGGTTTCTCATGCAAAGACGTACTATGGCATTCCATCTCATGTTTACTCTGGTGACTATGGAATGGGGTGTCACGGAGCACATTGCTCTTACAGGAAAGGAGGAGTGCCACATGGCAATACTACCCAAGTCAAGAACAATACAGACTCAAAAGATCATAAAAAGAAATCAAAACGTGACAGTTTTAGCGATTACATGGCTTATTTTACCTCTTTGTGGAAACCTAAGGGGTTGACAAAAAGAGAAATCGACGATGGGTACGAATTCATTTCGTCAACGGACGGTGCCAAAGAAAAGTTAACCTTCAGAAATACGAATTTCGGGGATGTTGATAAGAGAGACACAATCCCAGAATATCACAACTGGAATCCAAAAGTCAAACGGGAGACTGAAAAAGAGGAGACAGAGGATTCGAAGGACGGAACGCAAAAGAAGAAGAAAAAAGATGTGGTGGTCAACCGTCCTCCTATAATCTATCACCCTCCGCCAGAGATTTACCACCGTCCAGACATAGTCGTTCACCGTCCTCCTCTGGTGATCCACAGACCACCTATTATCTATCATCAACCACCAGTAATTGTTCATCGACCAGCCGTGGTGTACCATCAGCCGCCAATTGTTTTCCATCAACCACCGCCTGCTGTAAGTCAACCCTTGTTGTATTCTCATGATTCTTTCACTGTCCATCCTTCTTTCTATGCCACGCATCATGGCTCCGTCGTACGCGACTTCGGACATTACGTTGGGGTTCCAAATGTCATTACAAATTACGGAAATCCTCTATTTGGAAGAGCACCTCCAATAGGCAAAAGATCAAAGATAGAAACCTCACCTTCAAAAGAAAATTCAACTACACCAAATAACGGCAATTCAACAGCAGCTGCGTCTAAGCGAGCGTCTTTTGAAGACCATAATAACAAAGCAAAGAACGAATCCAGTGAAAAAGCAGGGAAGAAGAACACTGTTGTTGTCAGTCGGCCGCCAATAATATACCACCCACCTCCTGAAATTTATCATCGGCCTATCATTGTTGTTCATCGCCCCCCAATTATGATTCATCGTGCACCCATATTTTATCACCAACCACCTGTCGTTGTTCATCGCCCAGCTATAGTGTATCACCAGCCACCCTTGGTATTTCATCAACCGCCACCCATGGTTCATCAACCAGTCCTGAAGTCTCACGACACTTGGGTTTCTCACCCTATGGTGATTCCTTATTCCTCTCGGGTGTTGCATCATCACACATACGTGGGTGTTCCAGATGCCTATACTGTGCATCACTTTGGAGGACACGGGAACTCGTTTTACAAGTCACACATCTTAAAACATTCTAAATCACTCGAGGAAGACGCATCCGAAAGAAATAAGATAACTGGCGAGAACAACTCGACAAAACCAGAGAGAGATTCGACTTACAAAAGCAAAGTTACAGCGCACGATACAAAGCACAGAATTGCCTCGAAACTGAAAACCAAAAAATCTGGGAGTCAAAAAGGAGGCAAGAAAAATGCAGTGATCGTGCGACGTCCTCCAGTTATTTATCACCCGCCCCCTGAAATATACCACCGGCCAGAAATAGTGGTTCATCGCGCCCCTATTGTTATCCATCGTGCTCCAATAATCTACCACCAACCACCCGTAATTGTACATCGACCAGCGATTGTGTACCATCAACCAGCGCTCATTTTTCACCAGCCTCCACCGGTCGTACACCAACCAGTTTTTAGGTCACATGACACGTATGTGCGCAGACCAGTATTAAGACTATACGGATCCCGAATGCACCATACGGGGCATTTGTACCATATTCCACACGCTTATTTCCATGGACATGGTGGTATTCACTACATGGCTTATGGAAAATCCAAGGTGCCTCAAAAGGAAAATATTCAAGAAGAAAAAGGAGACACAAGGGCCACTGTTAAAAGCATGAAAAGAGACAGAAAGTCGGGAAAGGAGAAAAGCAATAAAAAGACTCACCATACCAGGCGAAAGCATATTGCCCTTACGAGAAGCAAAGACAAAACAGAAACTGGAATAAAGCTACACAAGAACCATGGCTCACCCTATCAGGTTACTTACCATAAGGCAAAAGAGGTTACAGAAAAAGCAAACAAAAAGAACTCTGTTGTTATACACAGGCCTCCAATCATCTACCATCCACCACCCGAGATTTATCATCGACCAGATATTGTAGTACACCGTGCTCCAATAGTGCTCTATCGTGCTCCTATTATATATCATCAACCACCAGTAGTGGTTCATCGTCCAGCCATTGTTTACCATCAGCCACCAATCGTTTTCCACCAGCCACCACCTATGGTCCACCAACCAGTCTTGCACTCGCATGATACCTGGGTGACAAAGCCTGTGGTCGTTCCCTATGCTTCACATGTACGCCACGTGGCTACATACAAAGGTGTGCCTCATGAGGAAATATTTATGCACGGTATAGGTACTGGTGCGTTCGGAAAATCACACGTTCCTGTAACAAGCACCCGAAGGAACAAGATAGACAGTGTTAAAAGCAAAAACCAAACTGAAGAGGAAGAGCCGACCGACCAAGCTAAGAATCCTGAAACGCAAGCGGCAGATGATACACAGCAACGCAGAACTGGCAATCCCAAGCTTGGAGCAGGAAAGAGAATTGTGCGAGCTTTGAGTGATTCCTTGGTAGATGAACAGTTGAATTTTGAAGAGAATAGGAACACTGTTGGAGCGGGTACAAGAATTCAAAGAAGCCTTCCCAACTTAATTCCAATGTTCGGGCACCAACTGGCTAGTGCATATTCCAGTGAATTTCCCTTGAATCTTCAAGGGTACGATCAGATTTCAGAGGCAGCTGTAGGGGCTGGAACCAGAATTCAACGATCCATTGACGATGGCTGGAATCCTTACATAAAACCACACACCAATAGTGTCACGACTCCAGTGGGCGCGGGTGCGAGGATAAAGAGAGCGTTAGCAGATCCGCAGGCACCATTTGAAGGTGAGAAACCTTATGAAATGTATAAACGTAGTAGTGAAGAAACTGAAAACTTCTCCACACCTGACGAAAACGCAGACAAAAACACCAATAGCACCAAAAAGACACTACTTATAATTCGCAGGCCACCAATATTGTATCATCCACCAAGCCATATGATTCACCGACCTTCCATAGTTGTTCACAGGCCAGACATAATAGTTCACCGCCACCCCATCGTCTTCCACAGGCCACCAATCTTAGTGCATCGACCCCCAATTATAATTCATCGTCAACCAGTTCTTATACACAGACCACCTATTATAGTTCATCGACCACCATTAGTATTTCATCGGCCTCCTATAATCATCCACCGTCGTCCATATATTATTCACCACCACCCGATTCTCTTCCATCGGCCGCCAATAATTATACACAAAGGACCTCAAATCATAGTTCATCATTCCCATCTGATTCATCACTATCCTATGCACATGATTCATATGCATTGTCCAGGTTGTGGTTTTGGGAAATCTACCGTTGCACGACTAGAAGATAACACTACTGAGCACAACAATAAGAAAACGTCACACTCTGACAGATCGTTAAAAGACTCTACTGTCAAGGATTCCAAGGGCAAAAGTTCTAACAAGCCAAAACGCTCTGTTGCAGACAAGAAGTCAAAGATGGGCTCCAAGGAAGCTAACCATCAAAGAAAGAGGAAAGATGTCCATAAAAAGAAGAAAGACGTAGTCGTGAACCGACCTCCGATCATTTACCATCCACCACCAGAGGTATACCACAGACCAGATATTGTTGTACACAGGGCTCCCATTCTTATTCACAGACCACCAATTGTCTACCATCAACCTCCTGTTGTTGTTCATAGACCAGCTGTTGTTTATCATCAACCACCAATTGTATTTCATCAGCCTGCTCCAGCAGTTAATCAACCATTACTGTTCTCCCACGACAGTTTTGTTGTTCATCCAATGGCGTTTGCCTCTCATATGGGTTCCGTTGTAAACGACGCTGGTCATTACGTTGGCTTACCACACGGTGGTGTAACTAATTTTCCTGGCTCCATCCCTCACGGTCCAACGGGACACGTCTTTTCTGCATTAAACTCACCCAACTGGGCAAGAAGAACTGAAGTTTTGAAACCACAGAATGAGAAGCATGCTAAAGGCGACAGCGCGAAGCATGGAAAACATCAAAGGCGCTCTAGTGACTTAAGGGATGGCCAAAACGAAAGAAGCGCAAAAAGGAATGATAAACCAACAGAGCAGAAGAGCAAGTATACCAAAGGTGAGAGAAAGAATAAAGTTATCGTTGCACGACCTCCTATGATTTATCATCCGCCACCCGAAATTTATGACCGACCAAATATCATAGTTCACAGACCAGACATTGTGATACATCGGCCTTCAATTGTTTATCACCAACCGTCGGTGGTAATTCACAGAGCACCGGTGGTTTATCAACAGCCTCCAGTTGTATTCCATCAACCATCACCAATGGTCACACAACCGGTATACCATGCCCATGATACATATGTCGCACATGCTGTGTTTCACCCACATGTGAGTAATGTTGCGCACACTGCAACGTATGTAGGAGCACCTCATGTCTACCCTGGATATAATGATTACGGATGGGGATTATCAGCACATGCACCCATCGCACAGATACCCCAATACGGCTATGCAGCGAATTATCGCACAGTATCTCCAACAAATGGCTACTCTACGTATGGACCTGCCATTGGAAGATCACAGGTAGAAAATGGTAGACTCAAGAAGAATAAAAAGAAAGATGAAGAAATGCACAATAAAAATTCAACTTTAAAACAGGACAAGAAGACGCGTAAAAGAAGATCAGGACAATTGAGCAAGCGCCACTTCCATCACCATCACTACCATCACCACCATCACCATCATCGGCACGGTCATCACCATCGCGGAAGTAAACGTTTCTATCACCTCCGACCAATCAGCTCTTTTGCTCATCGAGGGCATCGTAAACATGTCGTTATCATACACCGACCTCCTCTTATTTATCATCCTCCAGCACAAGTTTATCGTCAACCAGATATTTTGATGCACTTACCTCCACTGGTTTATCACAGGCCGGCGATAATGTTTCAACAACCACCGACGATAGTTCATCATCCTTCGATAATTTATCATCAACCTCCTGTTGTCTTCCACAATCCTCCGCCAATAATACATTCGCCAGTAATGCATTCCCACGAGATTATAACGCCTCACCTTCAGCACGTTATGGTTCCTTCCACGTCATATGTACACCCTGCCGGGAATTATTTTGGGCCCGTTGTCGCAGGCCCAGCTTATGGAAAGTCTCATATAGAGCGAACTGATTCTGAGAAAGACCTCCAGAAATCCAAGAGCGTGTCCCATTTAGAGGGAAGTAAATATGAAAATGCAAAGTTTGATGAGAAACGAGAGACCTCTGGTACACCAGAAACAAAGACAGACAACAAAGGATCAAAAAAGCAGAACGTCGACGTTGTAGTTCATCAGCCACCAATAGTGTATCATCCACCACCAGACATCTTTGACAAGCCCGCTGTTGTAATGCATCCGCCTCCCATGGTGGTCCGTCGTCCCCCTATCCTCATACATCGAGCTCCTCTTGTGGTACACAGACCTCCCGTGATTATACACAGACCTCCTATAGTACTTCACCACCCAACACCGGTGTATCATGTGGCACATGGCCACTTTTTTAATCCAATGAGATATGCTATGGGAAGGTCGACAATACCAAAGACGAGTTCAAAGATATCGAGGTCAGATAAACACAGCGCTGGACAACATGATGATAAGAAAAGCGCGACAAATGTCGCTCGAGAAAAATCAAACACCACAAAAGGGGAACGAAAGAACCTTGTTGTTGTTCACAGGCCACCAATGATATACCACCCACCACCAGAGATCTATGATCGACCAAACGTTATAGTACACCGCCCAGACATTGTCGTGCATAGACCATCGGTAGTATATCATCAACCTTCAGTTGTTGTTCATAGGCCACCAATAATTTATCGCCAGCCACCGATTGTATTTCACCAGCCTCCGCCAATGATACACCAGCCAATTATGCACGCGCATGATACTTATCTTGCCCATCCCGTTCCAGTGCCCTACACCTCGCAGGTCCAACACGCAGCAACGTACGTTGGAGCTCCGCACTTTTTCCACCAGCCGCATTTTGGAGGTTATGTGGGCCATGTTTTTGGAAAATCGGTTGTCGAAAAGGTCAAGAACAAAACGCTAAGCGAGGGAAATGAAAATAAGGGTAAAAAGGTAACTCATAATGGAGACAAAACGCATACGAGGTCAACACGTGATGCAGTAGGCGAAAAGAAAGCCAATGAACGCTCTTCAGAGACTTCTACAGGTCTTAAAAAGAACAAAGTTATTATAGCTAGACCACCCATGATTTACCATCCGCCACCCGAGATATACGACAGGCCAAACATTGTTGTTCATCGACCGGACATTGTTATACATCGCCCTTCAATTGTCTATCATCAATCTTCCGTTGTTGTTCACAGACCTCCTATTATTTATCGACAGCCTCCAGTTGTATTCCATCAACCTCCTCCATTGGTTCATCAACCAATTATGCATGCTCACGATACCTACGTCGGTCATCCTGTACCAGTACCATATTCATCTCATATACAACACACATCTACCTATGTTGGAAGTCCTCACTATTACCCAGGTGGCTGGAACTACGGCTGGAACCAGTTGCACTCTTTTGGACCAGCCTACGGCAAATCGAAGGTACCAACCAAGAATTCTAATTCCTCAAAACATGTAACCTTAAAATCAGTGCACAAAGATAAAGTTAGACGAGCAGCCAAAAACGACCAGGGAAACAATGACAAGCAAGCGAAACCCAAGTCAGCTGAAAAGAGTAAAAAGAAAAACCAAGTCGTTATTCAACGTCCGCCCCTAATCTATCATCCACCAGCAGAGGTGTATCATAAACCTGATGTTATAATGCATAGGCCTGATATTGTTATTCACAGACCTTCAGTTGTCTATCACCAGCCATCCGTGGTCGTTCACAGGCCACCAGTAATCTATCAGCAACCCCCCGTTGTCTTCCATCAGCCGTCCCCTATGGTGAGACAGCCAGTTCTGCACGCACACGATACTTATCTCGCTCACCCATACTTTACACCCTACTCATCAAATGTTTATGATGGTGGAAACTATGTGGGCGCTCCTCACTTCTTTCATAACGGATGGGGATGGGGAGGACCAGGCTATGGTTTTGGTCACGCCTTTGGTAAATCGAAGGTAGAAAAGTCTCACAAGAAACACGCGATTCACTTAAAAAAAGGCAAGGGCGATATCAAAGGTAACAGGAGAACTTTAGAGAAAGAAGAGAAGGACTTGGAGGACGCAGTGAGATTGAAAAACGAAACCAGGACGGCAACAAAGGGAAACAAAAAGAACCTTGTAATAATGCGTCGACCTCCTCTCATCTATCATCCACCACCAGAAGTTTATCATAAACCAGATGTTATTATGCATAGGCCTGATATCGTCATTCACAGGCCTTCAATAGTTTTCCATCAGCCTTCGGTTGTAGTTCATAGACCTCCTGTGATTTACCACCAGCCTCCAGTTGTCTTTCATCAGCCTTCGCCCATGGTCCATCAGCCGATCTTTCATTCGCACGACACGTACCTCGCACATCCACAGTTTGCACCCTTTACATCACACTTGCACCACTCAGGGAGCTACGTGGGCGCACCACATTTTTATCCCGGTGACTGGGGATGGGGAGCGCATGGTTATGGTGCTGGTTTTCATCATGCGTTTGGAAAGTCAAAGGTTGAAAAAGCTTCGAAACATGAAAGAAAGACAAAAACTGAAAAAGAAACAGAAACTGAAGGAAACAGAAGAACGTTACAGGGCACAAAAGAAGTTACAACTAATAACAAGTCTAAAAGCAAGAAAGATGCAACTAAAGGGCACAAGAAGAATTTAGTAGTGATGCATCGTCCACCACTTATTTACCACCCACCCCCAGAAATATACCACAAACCAGACATCATTGTACATAGACCGGATCTTGTTATTCACAGGCCATCAGTAGTTTTTCATCAACCCTCTGTCGTTGTACATAGGCCACCGGTAATTTATCATCAATCGCCAGTGGTTTTCCATCAGCCTTCTCCAATGGTTCACCAGCCAATCTTTCACTCGCATGAGACTTATTTTGCCCACCCACACTTTGTGCCGTACCTCTCGCATTTAACGCACGCTGGTTCTTATGTAGGGGCACCGCATTTTTACCCAGGTCACTGGGGGCTACATCATGGTTTTGGACATTTTATGGGCCATGCGTTTGGCAAATCTAAAGTAGAAAAAGGATCAAAGAAAGGAAAGTTTGAAACTAGCAAAGAACAAGAAACCGCAACTCCAAGCCACTCGGAGGAAAATTCGAGCAACAGAACCAGAAGAGCCACAAAAGAACCTGAAATCCATGGAAAAGGTGGAGTTAAGAAAAGAGAACACAACAAAGACGTAAGCGAAAAAGCAGAAATTAAAACCTTGGCAATACATCCACAAAAGGAGGATAAAAAACATCATAAAAAAGGCCATAAAAAGAACATGGTAGTTATACAACGTCCAACTTTGGTTTACCATCCTCCTCCAGAAATCTACGACAGACCAAACATCATTGTTCACCGTCCTGATTTCGTAATTCATCAGCCATCGGTAGTGTATCACCAACCATCAGTGGTTGTCCATCGTCCCCCAATCATCTATAATCCACCTCCAGTAGTGTTTCATCAACCTGCACCTATGGTACACCAGCCAATGTACACTGCCAATGATATGTATCGTAGTCATCCCCATTTTGTTCCCTATGCCTCTCATGTCAGACACTCCCATACCTACGTTGGAGCACCGCATTACTATGCAGGAGGATGGAGGTACGGTTACGGCTTTTCAGACAACTCATTAGCCCATGGAAGTGGATGGAATGGCTACAGAGGTCCATGGGTTCACCCATCTCCATCTTACGGGACCAATTATTTTGCTCGTACTCATGTTGCAAGTCGGAGATTTATGCATGGTCCATACTCCTTAGCATTTAGCAAGTCCATTGTTCAGAAGCATGTTGAAAAACCTGACGACCCAAGTAAGACTCAAGAAAATCATGACAAGCAAAAGAATAGTACACGATCCCACCATCCTGTACGTAAAGGAGAGAGACATCCACGATCAGCAGAGTCCAGAAAAAACGCTAGTATAGATTATCACCCTGTGAAAAGCGGACTTCACAAGAAAAGGCATCGGAATGGCGACGGAGGGAAAAAGAATCTTGTAATAATGAGAAGGCCTACGCTCATATATCACCCACCTCCAGAGGTGTATCATAAGCCAGACATTATTATGCATCGACCTGACATAGTAATTCACCGGCCTTCTGTAGTATATCATCAACCTTCGGTTATGGTTCACCGACCACCAATTATCTATCAGCAACCACCCGTGGTGTTTCATCAGCCATCCCCCATGGTTCACCAGCCAATATTTCATGCGCATGAAAGCTACATGGCTCACCCAACCTTTGTTCCTTACACAAGTCAGATCCAACATACTGGCACGTACGTGGGAGCTCCAACAATTTTTCATGGAGGGTGGAACTACGGATACGGTCATGCATTTGGAAAATCACATGTCTTTAAGCATAAATCTAAGTCAGGGAAAAAGAACAAAAAGACTGAGAAGAAAAACAAAATAGAGAGCACCAAACGAAATATGTTACATCCTCAAGAAGAAAAAGATGAGAAAGCAACAAGAAAAAATGACATAGTTGTTAGCCGTCCTCCCATCATTTACCACCCACCACCTGAAATTTATCATAGGCCAGACATCGTAGTTCACAGAGCTCCAATAGTACTCCATCGTCCACCGATAATCTATCACCAACCACCCGTCGTTGTTCATCGGCCGGCTGTTGTGTATCATCAACCTCCTATTGTATTCCATCAGCCACCTCCCACAGTTAACCAACCTATTTTACACTCACACGACTCATTTATTCTTCGCCCTGCTGCCCGATTCTTGCCACAAGGTTCAACAGTCACACATAGCATGAGTTATGTGGGAATTCCAAACCATGTAGTACACGGCGATGAACTTGATTTTCACCACTTTCATCGATCACAAATAGAACATTCTGGCCAACACAGATCCTTACAGAAAACATTCACAGCTCAAATAGCGAAATCAACAATCTCAAAAACTCCCACAACTAACAAAGAAAACACTGAAACCACCATCACTGATCAAACACAGAAAAAAACTTTGCGATCTACCGTTCAACACCACACACTAAGCAAAAGACAGCTTATGGGTTCTCATTCACTCTATGGACCTGTGTCGCCAATAAACGACATTGAAGATTTACATAAATCAATTGAGCAGAAAGAAAAGCTATCTACGATACCAGGAAAGACCTCAAATCGTCAAAGTGAAGTTGCCAAGCGTTCGGACGAATCAAGTTATGAAATTACCAAGAGGCAAATAATTGTGCCAGAATCTACTGAAAATGCTTACCACAATTCTTTACCCTCAGTTTACAACGCACTTGATGCACCTGCTTTCCAGAATCAAGTTTTAGCAGAACCTGAAGTGCTACCACATTCAAATGGCATTAGAATAGAACATTTGCCTGGTTTTGCATCCAGTTTACGTGACATTCAAGAGCTAGCGGGAGCCGGAATTGCAAGATCGTCTTTTCCGTTATCGTTACAGCAATACTTGCCAACGACTCAGAAAGAGGACTCACCAGACGTACGTGTTCACGTTGAAACCACGAAATCCTCCATACCACTCAAGAAACGTGAAAAGAGACAAATTTTCCCAATATATCAGCAGCAAGGTCCTTCCCCACTACCCCGAGTTCTATATCAGCCACCGAGTCTAGGAGATTTGGGAGTTGTACACGCTGCCGCACCTTCATCTGTTTACAACCTATTTAGTCCATACCACCAAACGTTCCATACCATTACAGGTCCACTTCGTTATTTGCCATTTGCTTCGCAACTTCATCACCGCCCCCACGTAAATATCAACGTACAGTCAGCAAGGTCAACTATACCGGACATGGAGCACGTACTTGAAAAGCGATCAAAAGAATCAAAATCAAAGAGACAGCTTTTAGCCGTTGTTCCACCTATTTCTGCTGGCATTCCCCTGGGATTACATGGATTAGAAGGAGCAAGGATAATGAATAACTTTCTTCCGTACTCGCCTTACTCACCTCTGCCACGTTTTTTCTTTCCACCTTTGCCACATCCTCAGGAAACTGAACCCGACGATGCAAGTTACCCTGAAGCGCTTCCCTTATTTCATCTCCCTACACAACCCATCCACAACCTATTTAGCACATTACCAGAAGACGATGGCAGTGAGTCACCGACGCTTAACCCATGGGCGTCTTACTTAAGTGCACTTTATCGTAACTTCCTTGGATATCCTCTTTATCACAGCGATCACAAACCTAAAGTCCACGTAGACGTACAAGCATCAAAATCACATATACCCAAAGCCACTAAAATGGAGAACAAGCAAGATGTTCTTTCCCGACCACGTATTTTCAAACGACAAATATATAATTACTTACCGCATTCAGCACTAACAAGTCACTATACCTTGCCCACAGCTTTAAATTATGGTGTACAAGGGTTCCCTTTCCATCGGAACTCTCCTCGAATCAACATTAACGTAGAGACAGCAAAGAAGAATGGGATACCTTCAATGACAAAAGAAAGGAGGTCTCCAAAAGTAGGTTATACTAAGCATCTTGAGGAGCATAAAACTGGTGATAAAAGGGACGAACTTATAGGAGGTGGAGAGAATGGTCAGGAAATTAACCAAAACCAAGTTAACCCCGATTTTTCAAATGCACCAGAGAATCAATTTGTTGCTACAAGCGAAGAAGCACCACGTGAGGAGGGAGCTGCGTCAAACGATAACGAGCAGCTCCAAGGTCAGAACGAGGCTGCCCAGCAGCAACAGTATCCGGAAATGGTTGGTCAAAGGCAGGAGCTACAACAAAATTCAGTTCAGCAAATATCACCATCTCAAGGCCAACCAATGATGATACCGGCTCAAGCACAGCAACTTGCTTTTCGTGGAGGTAATGTACCATTGCGAGCACCAATACAACAACCTTTGCAGGCACCTTTGCAGGCACCCTTGCAGGCACCTATGCAGGCACCTTTGCAGGCACCTTTCCAACCACAAGTTGCAGTTCCTTTTCAAGGTATGATCTCTAGTGGCCTTCCGGGAGCTTCAGTTCTCCCAGTGTCTGAGCAATCAGTTCCCCAGCAAGCAATACAAACTGAAGAGGAACAACCAAAACATACTACCATTAATGTCAATGTCGCGGCAAAATCAACGGTGCCAAAGAAACATTCTAAAAAGGTAAAAAACACACTCCATAAACGACAGTTTGTCGCTTCAACACAAGGTTTAATCCCCGCCTATGGAATTCCTATTCCTTACAACGGAGCTGCCCCGATGCCAAGCAACAACAATCCCCGTGTATCTATCAACGTGCAAACTACAAAAAAATCAGCGGTGGAAAAAGACCACAACAAGCGCCAAAGCATCTCACTGTTAACACGATTTCCAGCTATGCAAGTTCTCCCGCAGACTTTCAAGCAGAATGGCATTTTGATGCCAGCGTTCAACACCTTACCTGTAAATCATAGAATCAAGGCTAATGGCATGTTATTAGAAGAGCTACAGCGACAAAGAAAATACAAAATTCCAAAAATGGGTGACAAGAGGCAGACTGGTCTAAGAAGCAAACTCGGCCAATCCTCAGAAATGAAACAAAAGGAAAATGCAAAGAAACGCCAATTCTACGCAGTACCGCAATCACCGTTAGCCGTTCAGCCGTATCCATTGGCTCTTCAACCAGCTGTCAATCAAAGACCCCGAGTTTCAGTAAATGTGGATGTAAGCAAGAGAAAGTCTGCATTCCCAGGAAGAAAACGTCACGGACCTTTATCGTCTACAAGCGTAAAGCGGAGGTTGCCCAGCTTTGTTGAAAAACTTGAAACAAAGGAGAACTCGAAATCAAAAAGACAAGTATATGGAATGGAACAGCTTCCGCACATGATTCACCTTCCAGTTGTCAGTCCACCTCTACTTTCACAGGTCCCTTCAAAAAATGAGCGACCCCGTGTGTCAGTCCACGTAGAAACTGCCAAAAAGAAGAATAAACTAATGAGCCAAAACGAACCGATCAAAAAGGAAAGGAGACAAATTTACGGCCTGTCGGAACTACCGCATGAAGGGTTACCTTTCCCGGCAATCAATCAAGGTCAGGCCCTTGAATATTTGCCTAGCTCAGTGCACACTCCCCGCGTTTCTGTCAATGTTGAGGCGTCTAAGCGCTCGGATGAAGAAGGCTCGCATGATTTGATCAGTAAACGTCAAGTATTCGGTGTACAGGCACCTCCTGCACAGCCTTTCGAACAGGCTCAGGAACCCATTGCAACGATCAACGATCAAGAACCACTACAATCCGATGAACCAGCACAAGGTAGTTTCTCACAGTCTCCTATCCACGTTCAAGAGGAACCTCAACTAGATCAGTTATCAACGGCAGCTATTAATTCAAATCCTGCAACACTTCAACAGCAACAGGCACAAGAACTACCTTCAGATGCAGTGCCCTCTCAGGCAGGTGTAAGCCAGATTGATTATGAACGCCCACATGTTTCCGTTCAAGTGGAAGCATCTAAAAGATCAAATGATAAACGGAAAGCTGGCACTATCAAAACTAATTCTTTGAAACGCAGCATGCCGCAACTTCACCAACTTGAGCAAGAACCTGAAGACTATGAGCCCGATGTGAATGAACCAGAAACTGTCGCCAACACAGGTACTCTGCTCGGAGACCAAAGACCTCGCGTATCTGTTAAGGTCGATGTAGCCAGAAAGAAACATGATATTTCAGGCACTACGTCTAAGAAAAAGATTAGAACTACAGTAAAAAGGCAGTTTACGGTTCCATTTAACGAAGGATCAAATACAATTCAAGGCAATCCTATTCAAAATACTCAATTCCTGACGGGTGAAAACCAAGAAGAAAACGAACAAGGTGTCCAGCAGGTTTCCATGCTACCACAACCTCAATCTGAATCGCTTGAACAACAACAAGAGCAAGAGCAAGAGCAAGAGCAACCGCAACCGCAACAGGAGCAGCCACTTGCATTTGTACAACCTATGCAACAGCAGCAAATTCAACCGTTTCAAACACTTACGCTACCTCTAGAACACAAAACACAACCGAAAGTGAGCATTAGTGTTCAGACAGCGAAATCTCTGATATCTACAAATAATGATCGTGGAAAGAGCTTTGGCCATCATAAGGAACAGACACCAGAGCGAAAATCGAGACGCCAATTGTTTGGAACCGTTCCTCTTCTTAGTTCACTAGGGCAGACAGCTGTGACTGGTAGCGTTAGTAAGGAAAATGGAAGATCAACTGTTCCACAGTCCACAAAAGGGAAAATCATAAAAGAAAATCGCATTCAAGCGGGTAGAAAAGACAAGCGTACTTGGAAACGTCAGCTATATAATTATCTAGGAGGTCAACAGGAACAACAAATTCTGCCCACACAGTCTTTGCAAAGTATCAGTGAACCTCAACAAGAACAGGCTTCAATACAGCCCATTCAAGCCTTTCAACAGGATGCCGGTGCACAGCTAACACAAATGAACCTTCCGCAAGCCTCCTTGACGCAAACAAACGACCAAGAGGCTTCTCAACCATACCTGGCCCAAACTGAGGAAAATCAGCAAGGTTCGGTGTTAACCACTCAACCTCAAGAATCCTCTGTTAGCCCAATTAATACATTTCAACGTCCTCACGTGAGCATAAATGTACAAACGGCTAAATCACTCGTGCCAAACCCAGAAAGAAAGTTTCACAGTCATGAACTTGAAACTAACATGCCAAGATCTCATCTGGCAACTGGAAAAAATCACGAAACAAAGAAATTTAAAAGGCAGTTTGATCTTCTTGGAGGCGGCGTTATTGAAAGAAGACGAGGTCCAAAGTTCGTCCCAGAACCCTTAAAAAAACCACGCGAGGAGAACTTGTTTGGTTTGGGTAACAACCTTAACAAGCCCGTTGAAGTCTTCACAGATCCGATTTCAAACCTAGTTGCAGGTGGAGCTGCTGGAAGAAAGAGACCAAAGCTCGGAGGAATACGACTTGACAGTCCTACTGGAGTTGGAGCTCTGCCGCTTAAAGGAGCCGCCAACCCTTTAGAAGGCACGCTTCCTTCAGATTTAGGTGCACAAGCTATACTTCAAGACAGTCCAGCAGAGACAGCTCCCCCGTTGGCACAGGAACCTGGAGTGACCAGTGAGCCTTTATTTCGTCCACCTAGTGGTATAGCTGGACCACAACTGGATACACTAGAACGAGAGGGTGCAACCAATATCCCACTATCAGACCTACCTTCAACTGGACCAGCTATTCTACCTCTGCCTGCAATCAATAGGGCCTTTTTGAGAAATTTACCTTTGCCCGCTGCACCGCTTCCTCAGGGGAACCCACTTCTTTTAGCTCCACGAATGTTTCCAATACTTCCTTTCGCACCCCCTATGGCAGTTCCACCCGTGGTAGAACCTCCAGCACTGCAAGAACCCACACCAGAGCCGCAACAGGCCCCACCACCGTTAGCACCCATGCTTCCACCAGTTATTCCTATGCCAGTTCCTAATATCGCACCGGTTCCTAATATCGCACCGATTCCAGCCCAACCCAGCTTGTTTCCTGAACCAGAAGAGGATAAACCATCGGTGCATGTTAATGTGGAAACGTCAAGGTCCAACGTTCCTGTAAGGGAACACCACTCCACGCAGCACGCGAATGGCTCAGCCAATCGTAGCTAGGCCGGGAGTGAAAATAGTGCTCGAGGTATGATGACATGTTCAACGATTGTCTCTAGCATTACTAGTGTACTGACTGGACGTTCACGTTTAGAATAACTGAGGTGGTGATTAGTAAAGAGTAACAATAAACGGAATAATACATTAATCACACGCAAGTGCATATATCAAATTAATTAACTAATCAATAAAACGATTAAGTAGTTGCGCGGCAACTACTTCGTTTAAACGTGTATCGTAATGGAAAAAAAAAGAATTTTAAAAGTACTATAAGGAAAGTAATTAATTGGTATCGATCTGAAGATGTAAGTAATATTTCCCTCTATCTTCAGATATTAGTATAGTTAAGGTTGATTAATCAAGAGATTGCTCAAAGCAAGTAAAATAAACCTCGATTGAATCGATATACAAGGGCGGGGTTAGTCAGACAACAGGGCTTACTAAACGGTTATAATTAATTGTCATTATGTTCTATTTGGGAACGTTGTTCCTCCGTAATTTAACAGGAAATCTCTTTGCTTCTTCACTTTAGGGCCTGATGTGGTTTTGCACAACATACGTTATCGAGAGGAGTAAAAGAACAAAACGGAATGGGGTTGTGAAGCCTACTTAGGCATGGAATTTTGTAGATACTTGCAACACCCTCGTGATGATTCAACGCCCGTTGCAAAATATATTCTCTTTTCGTCTGAAAGTGGCTAAAATTAGCTGAAGCAGCGTTGCGTGTAGCAGAACATGGCTTGACCTTAAATACATTAAATTGAACGAATGATTCAAACTTATCCACCTTCTTATGAACCACGAAATGATGACCATGGCCCAATCGACATGGGGTATTCGTGTTTCTGTCGATCATACTACCGAACAGTGAACAAAACGGATCTATTTCAATGGTAGTGCAAGTTATTCTTTCTAAGAAAGCGGATAGATATTGAAGCGAAATCAGTTTCTAGGATTAGTATTATAACTGCCCACTGAATACGAATCAGTGGACACAGGAATTTTTCTTTAAGAGCCAATTTGCATAAAACAATCCATTAATTCCCTGGAACAAACCCAAGGGAAAAGCACGGTCTGATTTTGTTTTTAGCCATGTCTCGTCTACGGATATACAGCGATTTCAATTATTGTTACAATCATCAGGCTAACATCATACATGTTTTTCCTTAATGGGCTTGTGTCCTGCAACAAAAGCAAACGGCATTGTCCCATGCAAATTGGCTTTTATAATATAAGTGAATATATCTCAAAGATTGCTGCTATCTAGGAGCTAAAATAATTGTTTATATCCAGTTTGTTATCCAAGGTTAGACAGAACGTTACCTGGAGTTGCGTCAAATTTGCATGAGTGAGATCTCTTTGAGTTTTTACTGGCTCCTAAGTCCACAGAACGATAACGTATATGATAAACGCGATATGAAACATCAAAAACATTTTCTATGAATAAAACACTTTGATGAAGTTTTGAGCCATTTTAGAGACAATTGTGACAATAAAAATTGAATTTTAATTATTTTGTACCGCTAGCTTATCTGCTTGTGTGACCTCTTACAGATTTTTCAGCCGTGCTCCATATCAGTCTGTTTGAGACTTAGAAGCTTTGCTTAGAAGCTTTGCTTACTGTCCTGATTTCCTCCTTTTCGATGTTTAACTTGATGAAGGAACTTCATCGAGTTAAGCATCGAAGTAACTGCATGGAAAATGAAAACCCAGTTTTGTTTTCTTAGTTGGTCTCGTTCTGTTCTTACAATAGCTGAAAATGGATTGAGTGTTGGGGTTTAATGTCTTTATGGTTACATGTAGTGATGATGGATATGAGTATTTGCCATGCATGTTTGACGTCTGATCAATACGCTGTTTTTGCGTACCAACTGGTCGCTCCTTAAAGGGCGGAAAGGCCGGTTTTCATATGATCGCTAAGATCTCTATAAAAAGCATTGAGCGACCCTTACGCCTACCTGTTTCCCTCTAATCACTGATCGCTACCACCGTCGATCTTCTCAATCATCTAAAGTTCTTTTGCTGCTTACGTCTTTTTTTTCTTCTCTCCCTCAGAGGATAAGCCTGTTCCATGTTTCCACATGATCACTACGATCGCTACAGAAAAAGATGAGCGGTCCTTAATACTAACCGAATGCCTAGAACAGGCCATGATCTCTAAGCATATTAACTATATATCAACCAATTGGTTCCAGTCTCATTCTATTGTTTCCAAAGCCAATTAGAACCGGAATCTCACTGGACCTACCCAGAGGTCGCGATTCTTGGTGCTGACCAAAAGGAGCGCGGCCCCCGGGGACGGGAATCAGCTTCGAGGCAATTCTCCAGACAGTCTTTTGGCATGTTACGCATTGTGTAATCGTCACCCTTTTTGCCACTTGTTTATGAACACCATCAGAACATCCTCTAGCTCAAGGCTTTCTCCACGATGTCGGACTTCGCATGCANCCACCGCCACCCCTCCCATTATGACGTCGAATTACGCGCCGAAACAGCGCCAAGCTATAAACAACCAAGCAACTCTCACAAATAATACACTTGTTTGAGGTAACTTACATAGACTTTCCTTGCCATTTTACTTTTTTTGAAACTGAATAAAGAAAAACACTGTGTAGATTAATCGTCGATGGAAGTGTAAAGAGGGCACCGGTTGACGATTACCGCTTGTTCACTCACGAAAATGGATCAACACAACAATTTCATCCGCTGTGAAAGCGTTACCGTGACCGTGGTCAGAGATAGGAAAATCCTGACCGCGCTAAGAACCAATCAGATGACAGGATTCGTTACCGTGCCTTCTTGAAAATAAATAAATCGCTTTTCACCTAGCCTCTTACGCATGTACGCAAACGCTCTTTGGGCTCGTCACACAAAGATTCTGTGACGATCCCAAAGAGCGTCTGCGTACTTTTACTCGTCAGTCGTGTCACGTTAGTGCGTCACGCACTAAAGTGACAGGTTATATCTGAGTGCGAAGGATATCTTCATGTACATTAAGCTTCTCTATTGCTGTAAATGCGTAAAGAAAAATTTACCTACCTTCCAGGATATGGAATATCGGCGAGGGGCGACAGTGTGATACTTATTTTCCTTGACTGCGGTTCGTTTCGTTTCGGTAGGTTTCAATGGTGGGTCGACGGTGACAGTCTTTTGGCATGTTACGCATTGTGTAATCGTCACCCTTTTTGCCACTTGTTTATGAACACCATCAGAACATCCTCTAGCTCAAGGCTTTCTCCACGATGTCGGACTTCGCATGCAATGCGGATGATGAGAAGCAAGCCCTGTATTTTGCATTTTCTCGATCGAACAATGACAGAGCAATAGCTAGTCCAGGGTCTTTCGGTCATCGCGAATGCGCCTGGCATTATTTGTTATGAATATCGAGTGTTCTTAATGGAAATGAATTTAATGGCCCTCATATTTACTACAGAGTGCCTCAACTACACTAAGACGGCCTGCAATTTACATATTGTATGTGAGTATGAAACTGTTGCGATCGTAATGGATTTGTTTTGTCTTTTCTTTTGTAATTGGTCGATACCCGACATACACGTTAACATCGACCAACTGGCCTGGTGGTTTTCTTGTGCGAGACTTCATCTATTTTCACCGTTTCTTAAGTGAACAAATTCTGACCCTACGGGTGAATCATCTCCACACATGACCACCGATAAACAGCTGCTAGACACCATTATTACTGTAATGAACACTATATAGAG